CAGGCATGCACCAGAGGCACCCCTTAGCACACCCTTCACAGGGGTCACTGTGCTTCCCAAGACCCCACAAGAAGATGACTGCTCAAGCCTTCCCACTCCCAAACACAAAAAAATTACATCAGCAGGGAAGATGCTGATGACATCAAGGAAAACCTCAGAAAAAGGGGAGATGGTTCATTTCAATTTCCATATTTTATGGAAAAAGTCAAGGCTCTAGCAGCTGAACTTTGCTCACAGCAGTGTCTAGAGTAGAAACATCCTCTGCTGCAAAAGGACACCCTCTCAAACCGGGGTGGGGTTTGCCAGCAAAATGTGGCAACTAATCACACAAGGTTTGCAAATCTGCTGCCCGGTGTGAGGGTATCAATGCAGGGCTTGGTCCCTACAGATCTCTCCCCTCTGTGAACCATGTGGAGAGAGAAAAGCTGGACTGGATGTAACAAATGAGACAGCGTGGGAGCCTGGCACTGCAAACCAGAAAAAAAAAGGACAGCGAAACTCAAGCTGTCCCCCTAGAAAGAAGAAAAACAAAAAACCCAAACAAACCAAGTCTTGATGAACACACACCAAATTTTTGCTGGCTCACCTCCAGAGAAAGCAAACCCATTCTCAGTCAAACCTATTCTCAATCACATTGTCAGTGTGCAAAAACAGATAAGGCACCAAAACAGCTGGGTTAACACACTTCTGCATTTTACAGCGAGTTGTGTGCAACCCTTTTTGAACCACGGGCACACTTCTGAGCCAATCGCAAGGTGAGGACGGGGAGGGGTTAACCTTGGTGGGGTCCCACCACTTCCCCCAGGAGCTGCTGCGGCTTCCTCCATCGCACCCCACGCAAGGTGAGCAAAACCGAGACAGCGGCAGAGGCCTCCGGGCTCTGCCGGAGGGCAGGCTCAGTGCAGGCAGGGCTGTGGGCAGACGGGACCTGTGTGGCCCAAGGCACCACCATGACATTGCCAGGGACACAGACAGTGGGTTTTTGGTCACGTGATGGAATTACTGTATTTTTGTCAGAGGAGTTCACTGCTGCAGTAACGGTTACGTGGAAGGGTATGTGTGTTAAAAGACAAAAAATCAAGCAAAATTCAACTGTGGATACCTGGAACGTTTGTGATGAGTTTCCAGAAAAAGCTGCAAATCTTCAGATGCAACAGTTCTGCCATTTTTATTATGTTCTCTCTTATGGGATACTCCAAAAGAAGTCTTGTAATGGAGTTTGGTTTTTTCCCTCTTTTTTTAATGCCAATACCAAATTTCACATGGGAAAAGCCCCACTGTGGACACCCCCTGGACTGGGAGCTGGCTGCAGGAAGCTTTATCTGCTGCAAACCATCTCAGTGTTGGGGTTTTCCACAGGCAGAGCCCAGTCAGTACAGCCACTGGCACAGCTAGGAAGATACCAGGCCACCAAAACGCAATGTCTGCAGCAGTGGTTTGGCCATCATGTTAGCATGTGCACTCCAGCAGCATCAACAGAGCCAAAAAGTAAGCTGATAAGATGCCAGACTAGGCTCTGGCTGGGTTCTCCAGTACAGGACCAGTACACAGAGCCACAGCAGGCACTGAGGCAGACAGGGCTCAGCCCTGCACCAATGGGAAGGCTGAGCCAGCAGCCCCAGCTGGTTTAGTGTCACACGCTGGTGAGACCGTTCAGCCCAGTTCCTCTTTCCCAGCTGCATGTCCACGTCAGATGGGAGGACAGTTTCTTCCAGTTGAGTTGAGCTTGCTCCCGGGGAGCATGAGTGGCTACTGTCAAGGCCAGACACAGCACCCCTGTGACCACTCCACTGTTGCCCATGGCTAGGACAGGAGCATCCTCTCACTCCTGCAGGGAGGGCAGCCCTGCTCTACATGGGAAATGGGCAGGGGCCAGGCAGCTGGGCTGGAGGATCGCAGCCGCAGCCTGCCTGCCTGCTCACATGCACTGAGCTGAAGCAGCTCCAGCTATTGACTGCCAACATTTCGCACACATCTCACATCCTGTCTGCTCCTGCTGGGCATCCCTTGACCTCCAAAGGAATGGAGCACAAATCGTGGCACCTCTAGACTGCCCATGATGCAGGCAGGCATGGGAGTCAGTGGGACTCCAGCCAGCCACAGCCTCTCCTGCATCCTTAGCAAGCTGGTCCTCTAGCACAGGACCCTAAGAGCGGGGATTGAGGTGCAGTTCATGCTGTCATGACCTCTGGAAAGCACTGGGTGCCCTGATCTGGGCACCCATGGTTCCCACAACAAGCAACTTGCCCAGCACTGTGCTGCTGGGCAGGCAGAAAGGTGAAAGAAAGAAGAGAGCATGTTTGCATTCTGGGGTCATTTCACCCAGCAGCCACCAAAGCTCAGTTCTGAAAAGAAGGGCATCCAACAGGATCCTCCTCCCCTTTCCCCAACCTTCCCACTTCCCCTTCTCTAAATCTAATGGGATGTGTCACTTTGGGAAGCACCAGATTCCTGCTGCTGCCATTCAACAAGGGAATGGAGTGCTTGACTGGTGCTTCCCATGCACCATCACACATTCGCTCAGCACTTGGGCACTTTCACCCTATGACCTGGGGAGAGGCAGGCGGTCTGAACCCTTCACTGGGCAACTCACAGCTTTTGGCAAAACTAAAGATCCCAAAAATATGTGCCCTCCCCTTCTCAGCAGCGAGGCTCAGAGAGAGAGAAGGGAGTAAACAATTATCGCTACCAAATATGGGTCTAACAGCCAGCGATGAAGCCACGGCAGAAGCATGTAGACATCCTGCCGGCAGATTCAAAGGGATGGGGAATTTGCAAGGGCTGGGGCAGGACCCGCCAGAGGATGGGGCAGCGTTTCCCCCTGCTTGGTTAGTTGCTTCGGCCAGGACAAGGGGGCGATCCACGCCTTCCCCGACTGGGGCCATTCCCATCCTGCCTGGGAACCACCCCAGTGCCCCATCCCGGGGCCTATGGCCAGCTGTGTGTCCTGGTGGGAACTGCTGCGGTGACCTCCCTGGCTTCGGTATGGCCATGGGAAGTGCTGTGCCCTCGTGTCCCACCCAAAACCACACAGCACGACACAGACACCCTTGCCACTCGCTCTTCCCCACGTCCTGGCAGGGTGAGCGGGGTGCCGGGGGAAAAGCTGCGCCTGGCGTGCCCCAAATTCCCCAAGGTCCGCGGACCGTCGGCCACGGCCAGGCTTGTCCAGTTGGGTCCTCAAGGACCCCCGAGGTGAGGATGCTGGCCGGGCCTCGCCACGGTGGACTCCAGGCCCGAGCCTGGTGAGGCAGGGCAAGGGCAGGGCCGGGGATAACGTGGCCGGGGATAACGTGGCCGTGCCAGCCCGTGCTGCCCCGGAGCCTCCGGTGGGCGTCGGTGCTCGGGTGGCGCCGACCCCAGGGCGATCTGGGCATGCCAGAGTGAACCCCGGAAGCCCTCCGGTCACGGCAGCCCCGCGGACAAGCTCCGGTTGGAGCAGGGAAACCCCGGTAACCGGAAAGCTGCTTCCTCCCTGCCTCCCCGCCATTTACCGGGCGGGGTGCAGGGCAGAGTCCCCGGGACATCCGTTTCCGGCAGCCCCCCGAGAGCCAGGGCGCTGCCGGCCCGCAGGACCCCACTCTGCAGCCCCCCCTCCCCAGTTACCGGGACACCGTGTGTCCTCCGTCCCCCGTCCCCGTACCTTTGCGCGGGCAGGAGCAGCGCGGCGGCCCCGCGACGCTGAGGGGAGCTGAGCGGGCGGCACCGCCCGCTTCCCGCCCCCCCGCGGCGCATGCGCCAGAACACGGCGCGCCGCCGGGTGACACGGCGCGGCCGCGCACGATGCCCCGGGGCTGCGCTCCACCCGGACACCGCGCCACGGGCATCCCGCTCCCACGGACAGCGCTGCTCTGTGCCCGCGCGGCCCAGCCCGACTCCCCAGGGCTGAGCACGGTTCCGCGCCCGCGCAGCGTGGCCGTACTCCACCCGCTGCTCGCACCGCATCCCCGGGCGCCCACCCGTCCCAGGACACCTCCGGGGCCTCGCATGACCCCGGACTCACCGCCCTCCCCTCTACCCGTTTCTCCCATCCCCTCCTCTCCCCTCCTTTCCCCGCCCGCCCCGCGCTCCCGCCGCCCGCGCGCGCTCCCGGGGCCCCCCCCTCCCCCCCCATTCCTCTCCCAACCAATGAGCGACCGGGGCGTCAGCGCGGGAGGGGAAGGGACGATGCGCGTGGGGCCCGCCGGGAGACCGGGTGACGTCACCGCGGTGCGTTGGGAGCGGTGAGGCTGAGGCTGAGGTTGAGGTTGAGGTGAGGGGCTGGAGGGCGCCGGGCTCGGCCACGGCTCGGGGCTCCGCTGCTGGGAGGGTCCGGGAGGCCCGGGGATCAGGAGATCCGGGGATCCGAGTCCGGCCCACGGCCGGGGCTGAGAGGGCTGCTTGGTTCTCCTCGGGTGGGTGTCCCGGCCTCTGCGCTCCTTCTGCCGCACCTGCTCCTCCTGTTCCTGTGCTGGCCCTGCTGCCTGCCCGGCGCACACTCCCTGGGGGGAAGCTGCTCCTGTGGAAGCCATGGGCCCTGACATTGCCCGGATTTGCCCAGCTCGTCTTGTTGCTGAACTTTCTGCTGGCAGCTCTTCCTTCAATCAGCAGGCGCAGCCGCCCTGGCTGGGGACTGCCCTGACCTTCTGGTTTTTGGTGGGATTTCAGGTGGGTTTGGTGGTATTCTACTTTTTTATGGGTTTTTTGGGTTTCTTTTTTTCCAGACCGTGGCACTTGACAGCTAGATGTGAAAGCTTAGCAGTGCTGATGGAGAGGTGCGATGGATGCCTGCTCTCTGACAGCCTGAGCACTGCCTGGGCTGAGGCATCGCCCACCAGCCGGCCGGGCTGATCCCGGTGAGCGCCATGCGGGGCCGCATCTCCTCAGGGACCGAGGCTCCTGGGCCATGTCTTGTCAGGACATAACAGCAGCAGCCCGAGCTGGGAGCAGACAGAGCTGAAGCTGCCACAGCCACACAGTGCACAAGGGCCAGGCAGGGTTTGGCTGCAATCCCTCCCCTCTGCCCTCCGAGTGCCTGTGGCCCCCTCCAGCCAGTGAGCTCTGCTGCTCTCCTGCAGCTGGGCCCTGACGTCCCTGGCAGCAGGAACAGCTCTCCAGGTCACTCCTCAGGGCTCAGAGACTCTTTACCAGTGTCTGATCCCTATAGCGAGGTAAGGAGTATTTTACTTTCACCTTAACGGTATATTGCGTGCTAGTGACATTTATATATATCCATCTATTTATTTAATTCAATATCCACTTATTTATTACAAGTATGGTAAATAGTACAAGGTTTGACAGCTGTTTGAATTGCTAAGTCTAGGTCTGTCAAATCATTAATCACTGTTCAATGATCACTTAATCACCATTTGATTGCCATTTAATTTTTGTTCAGTCATTGATTACTTAGAATTTGATCATAATTTAGTCATTTACAGAATCTCTGTAGTTAAAATCTCAACAGTGACTGTTCTTAATTTTCATGGGACAAGAAGCTTTCCCTGCTGGCTGCACACCAGGGGTTATGGCACCTTCAGGCTTCTGTGGAACAGCAGAATCTTGCATGCTCTCCACACCATTAAGTCTGGGATTGTTTCACTTTTCCTCTCCTTCCTGCAGCTTTTATGCTCTGGGTGGATGGAGCGTGGCTCCTGTGGCTGGGTCCCCAATAATCTTATGGGGAAAATACTGTATTGTTGTCACTGGTGGTGCTGTAATAGCCTGGCTGGAGAAGTACTTGTGAACTGGCCATCCCTGCTGTTGACATTGCATGGGGATACTTTGTCTGTAGGGTCTGAGGGACACCTTAAAGCAAGGCTGGTGTCTCCTGTTGTGCCTGTGCTCACTTTGGGTGTCGTGCTCAGATGTCGTGCCCAGAGGAACTGGATGCCCTGGGAGATGTGGATCTGCTTGACTTTCTTTTGAAGGATGATGCTCCCTGTCCTGAAATCCCAGGGGAGCAGAATGGTCTGCTGGAAGACTGGGGCCTGCCAATGCCTGAGGTAAGTTCTTTGTGAGGAATTGCTGCTGAGCTGAGGTTTAGGAGGTTTGTCTCCCTGCTGAGTAAAAGCTGTTCCTCTGCAGCTCCTCGACAAGGAGATGGATGACTTCATCAGCTCACTGCTGAGCCCTTTAGAAGATGAACCAGACAGGCTCAGTTATTTGCCTGCCAACAATGACAGCAGCATTTCTGAGGATCAGCATCTGTCCCATTGCCTTGGTAGCAATTTTGCCAGCCAAGACATTGTGTTGGTTGATCATAACTACTCCCTTCACCAGGACTGGCCTGCACTGGAAAGTGTGAGGTCTGATGTGACAGAAGGAGATGTTACCATTGAGCTAGGTGAGTGATGTGTATGGACTCTTTCTGCCCTGGCTGCAGGCAGAAGAGAGAAAAGCAGTCCCATACTGGTATGTTTTGCTGGGTGTCAGGCAGAGACGGAGGGAGCCAAGAGTAGAGGCTTTCTGTTGTTGTAAAATTGCTATTTCATGCCACTCAAAGCTGGCTGGTCAGGTGCTGCCTCAGTGGGGCCCAGCATTTGACTTGTCTTTCCTTCCCCAGGGGCATGGGTGGGTTTGGAAGGCACAAGTGAGACACTGGAACAGAGCACCACTTCCCCAGTTGCTGTTGCCGTGGAAGATGAACCCCAGCTTGTGCCTGGATCCATGGTGCAGGTACTGATTCCCATGCCTGTGGACCCCAGCCTTTGCTTCTCACATCTCTCCTTCTCTTCTGACTTGGCTCCTATGAGGGGTATTGCTGAGGGAAAGCATGATGTTACTGATTCCAGTTCTTTGTGTTTGCTGCATGCCCTTGCTGGTCCACGATGGACTCCCTGTTTTATACATTCTCAGTAGGCTTTTTTTTGCTTTTTCTAGTCTGACTTCCCAGAGCTGGTCCTGACAGAGGAGGAGAAGCAGCTTCTGGAGAAAGAAGGTGTTATATTACCAACCTGTCTGCCACTGACCAAAGTGAGTTCTCACTAGAACCAGACCACTCAAATGTATCAGGTAGTGTAGGGGTTTGAAACTGCAGGACAGTGCCTTGATGAGAATATTGGTGTCCAGGTGCTGCATTCAGTGCAGTGTTCATCTGGGCTTGGTGTCGTTTTCCTTCTTTTGAGTCCAGGGTGTCATCCATGTGCACAGCAGCTTCTGGCTGCTGTCAGTCTCCCTACTCATGGCTGTTTACAGGAGGCAGTTACACCACAGTGCCTCCAGCTATTTTTTTCCTGCTTGCCTAGTGGCTTTGTGGTCTGTGTGCTTTTCATTTTCCTTAGGTACACCTTACTTTTGATAAGTCATGGAAGCTGCTGGCTGCATCAGCAGGCCAGGGTTTGCCTTGCAGTTTATTCAGTGGTGTGGGAAGGACAGAGGACACGAGCACTAGGGCTGGTCACTGATATGTGAGGGTAGTCTGAGAGGGTGGGATTGCCAGCACCCTGGGATTGCTGTTAATGAGGTGATCCTTGCAGGCTGAGGAGCGAGTTCTGAGGAAAGTGCGTCGTAAGATTCGGAACAAGCAGGCAGCTCAGGATAGCCGTCGCCGCAGGAAGATCTATGTGGATGGCCTGGAAAACAGGTATGCTCACACAGTAGTGTCATCCAACACTGAGGGGAGCCATAAGTTCTTTTATGGATCCTTGGCAGAATGATGATGGCACTAAATTGTCATTTCAGCTAGAACCTCATTTTCCTATCATGTTATCATTAGTATAGCAGATGGTTTGTGAGTAGAGTGCACAGTTTCTCTACAAGCAGAATCAACGTAGTACAGTCTATAACTGCTGCAATACAGGATCTATCATACGACTTAACTTACAATTTCTAATCACCTTCATTCTAATACGTCTTAACTTATAATTTCTAGTCACCCAGGCCCTCTGCAGATGAGACCAGATCTTAATAGATGGTTCTGTGTATTAATATAGTGATCATAACATAGATTCAAAAATGATACAAATAATACAAGTCTCTCCTTCAGTCATGGAAGGAAGCAGGCAATGGTATATGTGTCCTTGAGCAGAGGGCTCGTGATCTGTCCAGCAGAAATCCTACTCCTAAAGTGCCCTTAGGACTTTCTAATTGCTTGATTTTGTGGACAGTGCACTCTGTGCTGTTGTGCTTTCCTGCTCTGTGATAGGGCTGTCAGCAACACAGAGCTGGCTGTGTGCCTGTGACCTTCAAGACTGGTAAGGGAAGGGCCCGTGTGTTGGAGAATTTTGCTCAGACATGGCTTATAGAGTTTTGTTCAGACACGCCATAATCATATACAGCTGATTGAAAAGTAAAAGGCAGCTGTAAGCAGCAAATTCTCAAGCCCGTTCCTGTAAACAGCAAAGTTCTCAGGCTTGTTTTTTAATAACAAGTAAATACCTTGTCCTTGGATGGTTATGGGAAAGCAGAGTGACAAACATGGAGGCCTTGAGAACCATTCATAACAGCATGAGAAAAACAAGTCTTGGTCTCAATAACAAACCACAGGTATTGAAAACAAAAGGAGGGGTTGGTGTGTAATCTGTAGTCAATGATGAGCTCGGGTTTTGCAATATATATGAACTTAATTAACACGGTTATAAAATGTGCATGTTGGATCAATAAATTGGAGTTTGATGCTGATCAAAGGATGGGTCGTCTCCCTTCGCTTCCTCACCCGTGCCCAGGGACTTTCAAGCTGGCAGGGAGAGGAAGAAGAAATCTGTTTGTTTTGGTACTTGGTGCACAGGACCTTCAGTGCCTGATAACAAGGGGCAGGGAATGAATACATGACTTGTTGGGTCAGAGAATGGTTGCTCCCCACCTGCCTGGCCTTAGTTGTGCTGATGACATTGCCAGGTCTGGGATCAGGGGGTGCCTGTTACAAGCTGCTGTGCTGTTCGGCTGCTGGGCTGCTGTCACCCTCAGCAAAAAGTGAGGCTGGCTCTGTGGGGCAAGAGCTCCCTGCAGGGGGTTCAGAACATCAGGATGAAGCCTGTCTTGTTCTCTTGTGCTTGGAGATGGCCCAGAGCTTGCCCTGTTCAAGTCAGGTAGCTGACCTGCTGGGACAAATGTGTTTTCAGGTCAGGCTAGCTAGTAATACAGCCTGATGTCACAGATCTGCAGGGCTGGTGTGATGCTAAGAGTGAGCATCCATAGAGGTTAATCAACTGGATTCAATCAATCCTGCTTCTCTGCAGGACTGGCAGGTCTTCATTCCTGCCCATATCTGGTATGAGGTGCTGCTGTCTGGGCTTTGCTGCACATGATACCAGGTGGACCCCAGGACCAATTTTGTCTGCCCCAGCCACCCAGAGGTGGTGTCTGATGTGAAGTCTCCACTGTTGACCAACAAAATATCTCTGTTTTTCCCCTACACCTCTCATCCTTCCTGGGAAGGGTGGCAGCCTGCACAGCTGAAAACCATGAACTGGAGAAGAAGGTGCAGCAACTGCAGAAGCAGAACATGTGAGTTTGTCTTGTTGGGTTTGGCAGGAGAAGTGGTGGGGAAGGCTGTTCCTGTTCTCAGGACTGTGGCCTGTCCCTGGCTGCAGAGGGTGGAGGGAAATGTGCAGATGTAGGTCCACCTGCTGTGCTAACCTGCATTTCCTGCTCTGCTGCAGGTCATTGCTCAGGCAGTTGCAGAAACTGCAGGCCTTGGTGAGACGGTCCGCCCCCAAAACTACCAAAAGAAAAACCTGCACCATGGTAAGTGGCTTCAGCCCCAGTGTCCGTGGAGGAGTTCCTGCTGTCCTCACAAGATTGGGAGAGAGGTATTTATTGCATGTAGTGATGCCTGTCCATCTCCTTTGCTGAGATTGTGCTGATCTTTCTGTTTCCAGATCCTGGTTCTGTCCTTCTGCCTCATTCTGTCTCCCAGCATCCGCTTACCCGGGAGTGTGGAGCCACAGCGGGAGCTCAAGGGTGAGTGAGTGCCCAGGCTGGGGCTGAGGTGTGGCTCAAGGTGAAGTGCTGCTTCCCCAGAGACAGCCTGAACTCTGGGGCACTTCCAACTCAGCATCCCCTTGCCTGGGGTTACAACTAGGTTTTTCTTGCTGTCTTGCCCCAGCTCTGGACTCTTCCTCAGCCCTGCTGCAGAGGCCTGCCTGAAAGCAGGGCCCTGTGCCAGGGGCGGTGCAAGGACAGGAGAGTTCCGGTCCCTCTTGGAGCACAAACTGTGCTTGTGCCTGGCAGCTGTGCAGCATCCTCTTCCCGCCTCCCCTGGGAAGAGGAAGTCCTGGTTAAACAGTTTGTCCTCTCTCCTGGGCTCTGTGGTAGCTCCATGCATAGCAGAGGAGGGTGGGAGGCTGGAAATGACAGGGTTGGCTCTACCTCTCTTACAGTGCTGTCACGGCAGATCCGCGAGTTTCCGAACCAGGGAGCACCTGATGTCCAGCATGACACTGAACTGGAGGGCTTCAGCCCAGAGCCTGGAGACTCCTTGCTGTTGGGCAACCTCAGTCAGTCATGGGAAGAGGGGCAGAGTCCACTTAACTCCAGTCCCAGATCTTTCAACAGCAACTCATCCTCTGACCCTCCAGCAGCAGCAGGCTCCAAGCCGGGCCTGCCCCAGAGTGACCCTTTGCCAGCAGCAGTGTTGGTGCCATGGAAATCCAAGGGTCAGGAGTGGGTAGAACACCCTGACAGAGTTCTCATCCAGCAGCACCATGCCAATGAGATGTGACCAGTGCTGCATCCTGCTCCTTGGGATGATACTGGGCATCCCGTGGAGCAGGGACAGATCTGTAGTAACAGATTATCTCTCCAAGCAGTTTCTTCTGAATACTCTTCTCATTGCCAGTGACTCAGAGGGTTTACCAGGAAGGAATTGATCTGACATTTTTTATCCGACTGCATCTGACATGGGACAGGAAATTCTGAGAATTTCACTGTGGCTGCTGATGTGGCTTGCAGCCCAGAGTGCATCTGGTGGCTTGTGTGGATTAGCTGTGGCAGGGAGAGTGGAGGCAGTTGGACTGAGGTGCCAGTACTTGGTCTGACTCGATGCAGCTGGCAGTGGAGGCTGCTGCCCTGCTTCTTCACTGCCCAGCTGGAGATGAAGGCACTTTCTAGTCTGTGTTGTGGCCCCAAACGTATGTTCCATGTCAGTGCTCCTTAATCCTGCAGTGTTGCCTGATTTCTAAGGTGTGAGGGAGCAGTTTGACCTTCAGTGCTCTCACAGGAGTAGTCCTGCCTGCTGCTGCGACAGACCCAGCATGTCGCCTGTTCCTGCTAGCTTTTGAGCCATGGCCACAGCTCCCAGCCTGGCTAGAGGAGGTAATTTGGAGTCCTTCCTGAGCCATGTGTGCTGTTTGCCTACTGTAAGGGCTGAGCCTTTCATCTCCTGCAGGTGTTTGGGCTTCAGGGAGCAGGCATGCCCTGAGCCAGACTGCTGAGGCAGCATGTTCAGAGAGCAGCAGAGCTGCGTGCTCTTTCGAAGGCTTTCCTGGCCACAGGACAGTTTCAAAGCCAGGTCCTTGTGTGCCCAAGCCTTGCTGTGCTGGCTGGTGATGCAGTCAATGGTTCTGGGTTGAACAGAAGCACTTTGAGCTGGTGAGCAGTGTCTTTGCCAGAGTGCAGCTTAGTGGTACCTGTAGAGATGTCCTTGTCCTACTGCAGGACATTCCATAGAGTCATATAGAATTGTTTGGATTGGAAGGGGCCTCTAAAGGTCATCTAGTCCAGTTCTCTGTGCAATGAGCAGGGATAGCTTCAAATTGGATCAGAATAATAATGAATAGCTTCCTTATTAGTAGAGTCTAAATAAATATTAATGGTGTGTGACTGTGTCCTCTCTGGTTGTTTTGGCAGGGTGCTGGGCTGCTGGGGCTCTACATGGGGCTGGGAACCTTGTGGGTGAAACCCAGGGGAGGTTCGGGGGCAATCCCTCTCAGAGCAATGCAGGGGAAGTCGCCTGGCTGTGGCTCTGCACAGGGCCGTGTTGAGGCACAGTGTGGGTTTGCAGGGCTGCTGCTTTGCTCTCACCCCGCTTCAAAGGTGCAAAAGCACTCTTGGAGAAAAGTGTATGTGGTAAGCAGCCAGCACCCACCACGCACACGCAAGCCTCCAGCGCTGCGGAAGCAGCAGCTTCCCCTGGAGGAAGCGCGAGGAGCTGGTGTCAGCCCCGCCGCTGCTTTTGTAATGGGAGCTGCACAATCGCAGGAAGTGGAGCAGGGCCAGGGTGCTGCAACAGCCACCGGGTGGGCCTTGCCTGCTGCAGGGTTGCTAAATTCAGGATTGTCCCTAGATCTGGTTGGGGTCACTGGGTCCACAGGAGGCACTGGCAGACCCTGAGCTCAGGCTGCAGAGCCCACTGTAGGATTTGGGGGCTCTGGAGCTCAGCAAGGCAGTGGGTGCAGGAAGCTTCACACTTGCATCCCACCCCGGGAGCAAAACCAAGCAAGGCATGGGACAGTGTTGTGTCCAGAGAGGAGGCAGCCAAGGAGAGGCTCATCCAGGGCCTCTGCCTCAGCATGCTCCCAACAGGACTGGGTCACAGCCTGACCCTGACCAGGACGGACAGCCCTTGAGCATCACCAGGGAACCACTGGAACTCTTTCCCCAGAGGTATGCAGCGCATCAGGAAGGTCTAGGACCCCATCTACACTTCAGTTTAATTTTCTGCAATTTGAGGCCAGAGTGTGTAATGCCCCTCAGCACTTTAGTTTCATTTTTTTGCAGTTTGAAGCCAAGGTACGTAATGTCCTGTTCCCATCCTACTTTCATTTTTGCAGTTCAGGGTCAGTGTGTGTAATGGCCTGTTCCCCCTTTAGTTTCATTTTTTGCAGTTCAAGGCCAGAGTGTGTAGTGTCACAGAATTTACACAGAGTCCCTGACCCAGCAGTAATCAATATCAAATGAGCCATCTGGAGTAATACATGGTGGTGTTGCCAGGAAAGTTGGGAGCAGCCACGTGAGCTGGTGTTTGCCTGTGTATGATGGGGTCAGTATTGCTCTTTGTAGCTGTCTGGCTTGCTTGGCCAGATGTCAGGAAGGGAGATAACTCTGGGAGAGCAGGCTGAGAGCCAGGAGCTGGGAGTTTTGGGGAGGACTGCTCTACGGCCTCATAATGGCCCAAGTCTGGTGTTTTTCATTGCTTTCTGTGTTCCCGTGCCAGTCCCACAGCAACCAGCTCTGACCTGGGGAGAGAAATGAAGCTCAGCCTGGACCTCATGCCTTGGGTAAAAGGACAGCAATGATTAAAGTGCTCATAATGAGTCTTTGGCTGAGGACTTGATTATATCAAGCAGAGGGGCAGGAGCCAACTGATATTCTTGCCACCCTCCTTGTCCTCTTTGCTGCAGATCCCTGCTCTTTTTCCTAGCATGCTGTGGGGTCAGAGCATGGTGTGCATGTGCACTAGGGCTGCTTGCATGCACACAGAGCCCCACACTCTGCCTTAGGTCGGTGGTATGGTCCCAGCTTGTGTCCCCACCTTGTTCCCTCTGTTATGCCCAAGGTCGACCTGCATCTCCCTTGTGCCCCAGCAAGTGCCTTTGTGAACATTGTGGGACTATGCTGGCAGACTGGAAGTATGAGTTTTTCAGGGCAAAATATCCTGGATAGTCCTTGGCAAGTCCCAGATGGGTGTTGCCAGATGGAAACAGAATATTTTTTGCTTGGTGACTCCTCTTTGCTTGGTGACTCCTCAAGTATTAGGGTATCTTCTCCTTTCCGTGATAGTGATATATTGAAAATTGTGAAAACATAAAATGAAATTTGCTTTCTATTGCTAAGGAAGTCCTAGGCTGTGTAAGCAATACTAAACACTTCCTCATTGTGGCTTTAAACAAATCAGGTTTGCCCTTTTAAAAAAAAGGAATTAGGGTTTCTCACAGAGATGGAAAATTTAGTCAGTAGCAGAAACAAGATATATCCACCTCTTCAAGGGAAATCTAAATCCTGTGTCATCATCCATCCTATTTTTATCCACTAGCACCAGCTGCTGGATATTGGTGGAAACAGAAAAACTAACATCTGAAAACTGGTTTAAAAAGCAGCTGGAAATACAGTGATGGAACCACTGCCTCCTTCCAGCTCTCACAGCTGGGCACCTCAGCCCTGGGCCTGCTGAACCCCCAGGAGTCGTGTTAGGAGCACTTTGGCAAAGTGTCTAAGGCAGAGAGGTCGGGCTGTGATGGCTAAAAAAATCCAGCCAGTGTCAGATGTGCCCTTCCCGTGTTCTCTTTCCTTGGAGACATCATGGCTGGAGACACACCCCCATGCATTCCTCGGGGGACACAGCCGTGCCGAAGGGACTCTCGGGGCGGGGTATTTGGGATCTTTCCCCGGGCCTGGGATGGGAGCGCAGCTGGCAGCCGGCCAGGGCTGCGCATCTGCCGGGGCTGGGAACCGGAGGCTGACGGCTCTGCTGGAGTCGTTTGCAGCGCCCCGTTCCGGTGTTCGGGCACCCGAGAGCTTCCCGTGCTCGGCTCCCGCGGGAAGGCTCTGCAGTGTTCCTTCTGCCTGGCCACAGCCCAGTTTGTCCCCCATCTCTAGGGACATCTGGGACATGTTACCCAGAGCATGGCATCAGGTTTGCAGGCACAGTCCTGCTGCACGCTGCCAGGGAGGGGAGCTGGGACAGTCGCCATCCCCAGGGACTCTGCTGGCCTCAGCCTTCTCTTTTTCAGTCTCAGTGCAGCATAAAACCTCCCATCTGGGAGGGTGGCTGCTGGGTGAGACAAACCCCACAAATTTGAGGCAGGGCAGAAGACAGAGCCAAGCCCTGCATCCCCACAGAAACCTTTTATTTTGCATCTGGTGAACTTGCCTAAGAAAGCACCAACCTCTGGGCTGAGGTTGCGCCTCAAGTGCAGCATGCTGGTGCGGGCAAAGTCTGACTAGGCACTCCTCGCAATCCTGAGCCTGCTGGATTTTCCCATTTGCTGTCATTTTATCCGTGTGAAGGTGCTGGTGCCAATCCTGCAGAAAACACCAAATCAGATGGGGTCGTGCATGCTGTGGAGGGTAGAGGGGAAGCCCAGGGGGAGCACTGTGTGGCCGACTGAGGTACTGCAGGTTCCAACAGCCTGTGGCAGAGGCTGCGCCAGGTGCTGGCATCTTTTCCTTCTCTTCCTGCTGCGGAGAGTGGAAAGAAAGTTCCAGAGAGGGCTCTCTGTAGCCAGAGCCCATCCAGGGATCCCCCACCCTGAGGCACTTCTGGCATGCAGGGGTGGACGACGTTACACAGATGCTCCATAGCCCTTGCATATCACTGGTGACAAACCCATTCCACCCTCATGGTCTTCCCATGCTTCACCCTGTGAGATTTCTCCCTTTTCCAGCCTGAGTTGCAGAAGACCCTGGCAGAGCAGTGGCTGGGACCCAGCACTCACCGGGTGCCTTTCCAGTCCTCTGCAGGACTGTCAGCTGCCTCTCGCAGGAGCCACAGGGCATGTAGGGTCTCCTCCCCCTCGGGGTCCACATAGCACTGGCCCAGGAAGACACTTGTCCAGGCAGTCTCTGAGTCTGGAAGGGTTTAAGATGGTGTGAGTCAGGTAGAGAGGCACAAGGTCACCCTGTGTCCTGCTGGCATCACCACCTGCAGGATGACGTCCCCCTGCTGCCTACCTTGGAGCTTCCAGTTCACAGTGAAGGAGAAGGTGGGCTGTGGGACCAGCTCTGTATCTTGTTGGGACCCCTCCAGTGGTGAGGTGAGGAGTTCTGGGTAGCCAGCAGCAGGTCCCGGCTGGTAAAAACCGGAGAATCTGTTGTCCTTGTTCAGGGTGGACACAACCATCTGGCAGCTGGTGTCGCTCCGCCACGACCCAGAGAGAAGGCACTGCAAGGCCAGGGCTGTGGGTTGGAGGGAGGGAGAGCGGGGAGCATCCTGCTTCCACCCCTTCACCCTGGCTCTGCCCAGAGATGTCTGCAGCAGTGGGTGGTATGCCACGGACCTGATGTGCCACTGGCATCACCATCTCAGTGTGAGAATCATGCCTGAGCTGTAATCCAGCTCAGTCACTGTCCAGGATGGTTTCACCCACCCAAGGGAGAGTGAGACCCTCATGCTCAAGCAGCAGGTGCACAGTTTCCCCTACCCTCTGGGAGGGAAAACAGGAGCTGTCAGGGGTACGGCTCTGTTTGCCTTTCTCTGAATGACTTCCCACAGCAAGAAGCATCCTTGCAGGAGCAGTCCTGTCCTCCCAGCCTCATTGCAGCTTCCCTCAGCGCAGCACAGTGCTGTTCCTACCAGCTCCAGCAGCCCAGCCCTGGCTCCCTGCTGAGCTATGGTGCCCCAGCAGCAGACTTTGGGGTCCAGCAGGATGTCAGCCCCACATCCCCACTGTCATTTGTCCCCATACCTTCCTCTCCGCAGGGGCAACACGCACTGCCAGGGCAAGGGCGAGGGCGAGGACCAGGGCAAAGGCACTTCTCCCCATGGCTGCAAGGCTGCTAAGACCTCCTCCCAGCCCTGCAGCCCAGCACCCTTTATAGGGCTGTAACTGGAGCCCCACCAGCACCAGGATGGCAGCTGTGAGATGAATGGCTTGATGTCAGGGTGCCCGGGACAGGCGAGGGAGGTGGGCAGGTCTGCATGACCTGGTCAGGGCTGAAGGAACGCAGGAATAAGCACGGCTGGGCAGAGGAGTGGGGACACAAGTTTTTTATAAGGCCCTATAGTAGCCTGGAAAGCATCAATACCTTCTTTGGGAATCTGCCTCCCATGCACAAAGGCTGGAAACTACCACCTATTTCAACATTTACCCCCTCCCTGCTTTGCTGCTGCCACTGCCTGATGAGGATGCTGCAGTGCTGCACTGAAAGGAAAGCTTACTAATTTTAGAAGCGGTAACGTTTCTCCAGCCTTTTCTGGATGTCAGCTGCTGATTTTGATGCTTTTGCTTTTACTTTTGTGAGAGTTAGAGGAAGAATTAACCACAGTCATGTTACTGAGATCCCAATGAGTGTGTTTGCTAAACACACAGAGTGTGATAACCAGCCTTGTATTCACATTTCTTGTATTGGCTGCTCTAAAGGACCTTTGATGTGAAATATGCAGCATGCAGTGTCCCTGTCTTCCTGAGCTGTGCCTTTGCTGTGATGCCTGGAGCAGGCATATGGCTGTGGCAGCTGAAAATTCAGGTGGGACTCAGCTGAACCAAGACCTGCTGTGTTCAAGACAACAGTGTTTGGGGCAGGGCATGGCAACAGGGCTGCAGTGTGCAGACTGGGGGTGGGGCAGCACCCCTTTGGGGCGGCACCTCTCAGTGCCCACTGCTAGCCCTGGCACGTCCTGGCCCCCTGCGCTCAGAGCAGGTCTCTTCCATCTAGGTAACCTCAAATGCTGGGCTGAGTGGAAAACAGCCCTCTCCTAACATATCCCTCCTCTTTGTCTTTTTCAGTCCCAAAGTCATGGCCTATCACAGGTACTCATAGAAATTCCCCCTGTGGAGTCTTGTGCTGTTGTCCTGGATGCCACACTCTGTTCTTTTGGCCTGACACCAGCTCCTGCCTTTCTGTGATGTTTGGCAGGGACAAGCCAGCTTGTTATAGATCCCAGGGTGGTGGCAGGTTTCCCCCCACTTCATGACACCGTGCTGCAGCTTTGCTAGAGCTGGGCCAGGCTTAATGGACTGTGCAGCTGCAGTGCTGTCATCCCTGGGGCTGGGGTATTTTCATAACACATCTGCAAGAGGCTTTCTCTTCACCCACGGACCTGCCAAAAGCTTTGTGCCAAAAGAGCTGACTAAGCTTGGCAGGTGTCCACAGAGGCAAAAAGAGAGACACTGCCAAAATGCAATGCTAGAGAAAGGGAAAATCCCTGAGTGTAACCCAGGGGGATGGAATGGGGTGGGATGGGGTCTTTAACTTGTGCACATTTTACTTGACATGCCATGCAGCACAAAGTTAATGAGCATCTCAAATCTACTGATAATGCTGCCTCCATTGCCCAATCCAACAGAGCACGGATTCCCAGTGCTGGAAAGGGTCTGGTGGGAATGGATATGAAGGCACTGCAAGGAAGTGAGCTGAATTCAGGGTGCTGCTGCTAACCCTGCCACCATCAGGCAGGTGGGGAATGATGACACAGGGTGGAAGTTTGGGTTTAATGAGATGGGAAATGAGCCCAGGGAGGCAGATGGGTGGGATCAGGGAGCGATGCAGATGTCCCTGCAGAGGGGCAGTGGTGAGTCCTCCCCTCAGCAGGGGCATCTTTGGGGACAGAAGGTGTAGCAAGGACAGACTCTAAGAAAAGGCAGCAACAGCTGATGATTTTAAAATTTTATTCTCAGCTGGGAGGCAGGCTTTTCTTGTTGGGGGTTAGGCTGCAGCCAGACCATCCCATCATGGCCCTGGTAAAGACACAGCCTCACAGGGAGGGGATGAATTCGGCAGGATCTTTCCTTTTGGGGTGCGTTTGCGTGTGAAGACATTTCTGCCCACCCTGTAAGAAGATAAGAGTTCCTGTAGGATGACCCACAGACACTGCCCACTCAGAGCTGCCAGTGCTTGCAACAGTGATGGGGTGTCCCTGACTTCCCCCACGTTTCCTCCAGTGAGGACCCTGTGGGAATCTACAAAATCAGAAGGTTTTGGGAAAGCTGCAAAAGGCAGGCCTCAGAGACAGCAGAACTGTGATTAGAGCTAAGCAGTAGCCATAAGATAGGTCAGCAGAAAAATTATTTAAGAAGTAGAAAAGCAAAGACAAATAGAACAATAGTTTGTGTATTGACGCTTTCTAGAATAACTCCCTAAGCTACAGAAAAGTTTATCTAGTAAGATATTAGGAAGTTTGAAGCTTAATATGGAGTTCTGTGCATTGTGTTTTAAGGCTTACAAACAGGTATTGTATTCGAAATAAGCAAGCATTGTTTTAACCAAAGGTAGGTGTGCTTATAGCAGTTGGATAGAACTACTGTCAATGTGCTTTTGCTTTATGTGATTGGTCAAAAAACTTTTAAAGTAAGTTGTAACACTAAGTTCTTAGTCTGCTGTCTGAGATATGAGCTGATGGCATCTTCCCATTGTCATAACCATGTAATGAGACTGATGCTGAAAAATAAAACAGCTCAAAGCGTGTTCCACAACAGTCCCATCCCTTTTGTGATTTGTACGTACACGCCCAGCCAGTGATAGACCCCTCTGTGGCATTGGTGTTGCCCACATCCCCCCACTACCTCGTGGCTTTCCAGTCCTCCTCAAGGGACCCAACAGCTTCACGCAGCAGCCACGTGGTGCTCAGCATCTCCTTTCCACCTGCATCCACAAAGCATTGCCCCACGAAGGCGGTGGTGGCATCTGGGGGGAAGCACTTATTGGGAGATCCATGGGGAAACTGGCTTCTTCCGCTCCCCCATGTCCTCCCAGACACAGCTGTGTTCCTGCTCCAAATGCCACAGAACCACCAAACCCAGGCTGGGGGGGGGGCCTGCCTTTCCCTGTGGCTCCCTCAGGCAAGGCAGGATTTGTGGCATCATATCCCAGTTGTGCTAACAGGGTCTGGACCCACTGTGGGTGCCCCAAGGATGCTGGGTGAGGAGAGGCTCCCGTGTTCAAGCCCAGCATTGCCCCTCTGCACCATGCTGTGCAGCTGTTGCAGCTTAGCTGCACCAGAGCATCACCCAGCTGAATTCCTGGTGAAATAAAATTCCTGCTGGCTGCAAGCTTCCATTGACACTGCCGTGCCATCCCCAGGTGTCCCAGCACTTACTGGAGAACTTGTCCCAGAGCACAGTGAAGGCAAAGGTGGGCCAGCCCTCCCCTCCAAGCTGCTGCTGGGCACCCCTCAGTGGGGAGACTTGGGCACAGCCCCCGGAGAGGGTGACTCGTGTGAGGTATTGTCCATGGAAGTCCCCGTTGTCCCTCAGCACTGAAATCTCCATCTGTGAGTCCTGGTCATTCATCCACAGTCCGCTGAGCTGGCACTGAAGGAACATAGCCACACCCTCTCTGTGCCCCCACATGCAGAGGGACCCCATCCCTGCTGCTGCCCCACACCGGGGGAGCCAAAGCCCTGCTGTGAGTGCAGCTGCAGGGCATTGGCTCTCCCTAATCCCACTCTGGGCAAATGCTGCCCCAGGGTGCTGCTGAGGGTATGGTGGAGCAAGGCCAGAATATCCCAGCCCTGCAGCGTGCAGGGTACACCCAGACACAGACCCAGACATCGAGGGGATCCTACAGGCATGGTGCTCCCAGGCACAAACCCCAAGGGAAGGAATGCCCTGTGCATTGTTCCCTTGTGGGAACAAATCCTTCTGGAGGTGGTACCAGGTGGCTGAGGGTGATCCAGGGATACCTTGCCCTCTGCCTGGACTTGGTTCTTGCAAGGCTTGTCTAAGTCTAATATGGCATTTAAGGGAGAGCTCCTGGCTGCCCACAGTGCATGCCCTTGCCATGTCTGCCACGCTCCCACTGTCACCCATCCCCGTACCTTTCTCTCTGTAGGAGCAACACTCTCTGCCAGGGCCACGGCGAGGGCGAGGACCAGGATGAAGGCACCGCCCTCCATGGCTGCGGGGCTGCGAAATGCCCGGCCCAGCTGCCTCTCTGCCTGCATCCCAAACCCCTTTATAGAGCTGTAACCGGAGCCACGGCGGCTGGCGGCTGAGGCCTGAGTGTCCTGATGTCAGCGTGCCCAGGCCAGGGGAGGTGACGAGGTCTGCCTGACCTGGGCAGCGCCGGAGGAACGCGGCGATGAGCACGGCTGTGCAGGGAGCTGGGGATGCAGGGATGATTTACACAGCCACTGTCCAAGAGGCTCTCCCGACCCCGTTCCTTGCTCGGTGCCGGAGCCCTGGAGGCAGACACGGCCTGACACTGTCCCACTGCCACCGAACCCGTGCTGCCACCTAAACACAGGCTGGAGTGAGAGCAGTCCGGCCAGCTGTGCCCTGCTGCGCTGGCTGGTGACGGGAATGCCCGCAGGGCTCATCCCTGTCACCGTCTCCTCCTGCATTGTGAGTGTCTGCTGCTCTTTCTAAACTGTTTTTCCTCCTGGCTGTGCTGGGCTTCCCTCGGGTTTGGGACCTAAGACTGTCACTTCAGCAGGAACTCTTTAATCTGCCATTCTTGCGAGTGCAGAAGGGCTTTCCTGGAAGAAATGTAGATGTCAAAATTCGATGTTCCTGTGGGAGGGTGTGTTCTGTGCACGGTGCCTGCTGTGCATGCCATATGCATGATGCTCTGAGGCTGGGCAAGGCCCTCTCTCACCCTTCCCAAGGAGTTCCTGATGTGCAATACTGTAATGGGGGTGCTCAGACTGCCTGGCATTTGCAGAGGGACACGTCCCCTGAGACACCACTCTGACCAGGTGAACATGTCACTGCATACATGGAAGATAGGAGTGGCATCTGGCTGTGTCCAGATCAAAAGGTGCCTCTCTGGCCCCTGCCCAAGCACAAGGGGTGAGATCTGCTTTGACAATCCTCCTCATGTTTCC